ATAATTATTTTTTTACTAACAAATTAATTTGGTTCGTGCAAATAAATAAATTGTTATATTACCCAATGAGAGGAATACAAGTCGGTTACTTATTTTGATATTAAACTGAAATTGAATAGTAAAGATAATTAGCCTTATAATATAAAAGGACCAATATGAATTGATTTTATAAAGTTATAATCCTTAAATGAGAGTTAGTCCAAAGTTATTTTGATGATCATAAGACTCTCTCATGCGTTGACACGTACAATGCATAATAATAATAATAATAACAATACGGTTAAAGTATATAAGTAGTTCTTGAACTATTTTTTAAATTCGTAATAATCGAACTTTTAATTCGTTTTCAGTAAATTGGAGCTTTAGCATGGATAATCGTGGTAAGAGATTGTTATTCGAACCATACTGTCATATGGTTCAGATGATGGGAGTCAATTATATGAATATTCTACATCTCCAACAAGCAAGAAAGTGGGGAATGGGTGAGGAGAAACCTTCTTTACAATCATCAATATTCTGCATCTGAAAGTATACGGAAGTTGGAAAATAATTTCAATACTTTCAGACGAACAATAGCTCGAACGGAGGTGGGATGGACGGAAGTTACTTTTATGTGTGTGAGAAGAAGAAGGAAAAATAGAAGAAGAAGAAGAAGGAAAAATAGAAGAAGAAGAGGTGAACGGAAGTTAAGTGTCACCTTAGTAAAAACTGATCGGATGTAACGATATGAACTCTCCTGAAAACGAACTAAAAGTTTGATGACTGTATTGCAAGTTTTAAAAAGTGGGTTTTCATTATGCAAGCTCCTTAAGAGTTCATGAACTATTTATACACTTTACACTAATAATAATAATAATAACAATAAGGTAAAACTACCTGAATAGTCACTAATATATAAGGTTGATTCTATTTTGACCATTGAATTATAATACTTTCAATTAGATTGTTCAACAATTAAAATGCTATTAACTAAATCGTCAATATAATTTTTTATATATGATGAACACAAATAAAATTTGAGGATGAGTATAATTCAATACGCTATTAACAAAGAATCATATTTTAAGATGTGTATTTTTTTTCAATCTAATCAAGCGTGGATCTATAACTAATTACTAATGCGACAATTTAAAATTTTACATAATTATACATTTTATCGTCCATCGTATTATTATCTTATTAAATAAGAAAATATAAAACCAAAATTAAGCAAAGAGGATTGAACTCAAGACATATGGGTTAATATTGAGAGCTCCAATTATTGAGTGAAGTGCAACACTTGATAAGAAGTTGACAATATATTTTACGGAAATTATATCATTGATCACTCAATTATGTAGTTTTTTACTTTTATTAAAAATCTTTTAATTAAGTCAATCAAATCACTTAACTATTTAATTATATTCAATCAGACCACTTATTGTTAATAATTGATGAAAATGCCGACGTGACAATTAAAAAACTTGCAAATTAAACATTTAGTCTTTAATATTTATATATTCTATCAATTTGTTTCTAATTTAAATTTAATTTAATAAATTAATCATTCAATAGAAGATTTTTTCTATCCAATAAAATGATAACACGTGTCACCACCATATTGAAATACAAATAAAGGAGACATTTTGCACTCCAAAAGAATCGAACCAAAGTTAAGGGCAGCAAAGGAGCAACTAGACGCCTAAACCACTAGGCCGAAGGTTCTCAAGAATTTAGAATGTGCAACAAAAAGTATTTGTCATTTAAAAGCTTGTTAATGATAAAACAAAGTAGAAATAAAAGAAATAGAATTAGAACCTCCACAAATTATAAAATAAAATATCACATAAATAATTAAACAAATCTAATATTTTTTTATAATTATTTTTATAATTTAAATTAAATTTAAATTTTTTTAATTTATTTTTATCGTAAATCTTTAATCAATATACAATTTAAAATATTAGATTTGTTTTAATTATTTATGTGATATTTTATTTTATAATTTGTGTAGGTTCTAAATTTCTATTGTGTTTTATCATTAACAAACTTTTAAAGGATGAATGATATTTGTTGCATATTCTAAATCATTGGGAACCTTTGACCCAGTTGTTTAGGTGCCTAGTTGGTTCGATTCTCCTGGAGTGGAAAGTTGTCTCTTTTATTTTCACTTCAATTTGGTGGTGACGTGTCATCACCTGATTGGATAGAAAAATTATTTAATTAAATAAATCAAAATTCACAAATAAAATTTTTCAATCGTGTATTGATAATTTATTATATTAATTTTAAATTAGGACTAAATTGATATAATATATAAATATAAAGGACTAAATGTTTAATTATGCCAATCTTTTTAACTGCCACATCAACATTTCTATTAATTGTTAATGACAAGTAGTCTGATTGAACATAATTAAATATTTAAGTGGTATGATTAACAAAATTGAAAGATCTGTGGTAAAAGTAAAAGACCTACATAGTTGATTGGTCAATGGTATAATTTACCCTATATTTCATTATAATTTTGGGTAAAGTACAAAAATAAGATATTGTTTTATTGAATCTCCGGACTATTAAAAATTATAAAATAGTCATCTGACTGAAAAACAGTGCTTTGTTAAGTCTATTGACTATTAAAAGTTACAAAACGATCATCAAATTATTCATCATGTTCCAAACTCGTCCTTTTCCGTTAAAAAATTAACGGTATTCTGAGTAAACGTTAATATATTAGTTGTGATATGATAAAATCTAATCTCATAATCTTAAACGAGTATAATATATGTTTAACTATGTTTTGATATAACAATTTAAGGCAAAATGGTTTTTGGACTTGAATTGGATTTACAAAATGTTTTTGGACTTAATTGAATTTATTCAAAGTTTTAAAAGGTTTCAAAAATAATTCAAAGTCCACTAAATTCAGATTTGAGCCAAAATGCTAAAGGGTGTCAAAGTGCATCCATGCACCCCTGCAGTGCATCCATGCACCTACACTAGTGCATCGATGCACCATGCAGTGCATCCATGCACTCATAAACCGAATGCAATTAGTGCATCGATGCATCCTTTTGTGCATCGATGCATCCTTATATGCATCGACGCATCCTTCTGTGCATCGATGCATCAAGGCTGTGCATCGACGCATCCTTCTGTGCATCGATGCATCAAGGCTGTGCATCGATGCATCCTGCTGTGCATCCATTCACGAAGGCTGCAACGGCTAGTAACGACTAGTTTATTTGAATTTAATGAAGGGGTATCGATGCACCATGATAGTGCACCGATGCACCATGTTATGGGCAACCTTTTTTAGTAGAAAAATCATACCCAAACGGCTCCAAAACATCCCCAACGGCTATATACAACATCAAACACATTCCAAGCTATAAATACAAGCTAAGGACACTTGAAGAAGAAAAAGAACAACTATCCAAGCAATCAAACACAAGAGAAGAGTTTTTCATTCTTATTTCATCTTTTTCTTGTAAATATTTTGTTATTGTGAGCTCAATCTTGTAAACACCTACCTTAGAGAGGTTTTCTTGTTTACTTATTTTATCCTTTTGTAAAGGGGAAAGGTTCTAGCTTATCCCGTGTAAAAGCTAGGGAAATATTCTAGTTTAGCCCGGAAAAACTAGGGAGTTGTAAGGTTATCTCTTTGTCCTCAAAAGAAAGAACAAATTAGTGAATTTGTTGGAAAATCCTTGGTGAGGAACTAAGGTAGTGGACATAGACTTTGGTTTAGAAAGTCGAACCACTCTAAATCGCTGTGCCATTTTCTATCTTTAAATCTCCTTACTCCCTAAACTCAAAAATCGTTCCGACCCCTCTTTGCAAACCGTTTCGATTGTCGAATCGAACTTCTGAAAATCCCAACAATATCTCAACAGAGTCATATCTAACCCTGATAGAAGGGACACCTACCCAGAGCATATAAGTTTTATATTATATCATATTACTTTAAAAATAATTTTATATTAATTATATGGTCCAATTGTTTTTAATATTTGTTACTAAAAGTTTAATATTTTTCTAATATTTATTATTATGAGTTTATTTTTTTCTAATATTTATTATTAGGGTTTACTCTTATTTTTTTAATATTTGTATAAATGTCCGATTTTTGCTAATATTTTTTTCTAACATTTGTTATTAAGGGCCTAAATTTTTAATACTTATTATTAAGGGCCTAATTTTTCAATACATACTTTTAAAAATCAATTTATTTTGTAATATTTATATGTAATTATGAGTCCATTTTTTGTACTTTTTATTAGAGGTCTATTTTTTTTAATATTTATTATTATGACCCTACTCTTAAAATTTACTTTTTTTTTAAATATTTGTTATTAGATACCCATTTTTTTAGTACTTGTTATGGTTTTATCCTTAATTTTTTTCAGCACTTAATATTAGAAACAATTACTTAAATAACGGTATACAATCACAACAACGACTGTTATGTAGTGATAACGACATTTATTTGAAATCACAATATCCACAATCGTTATGTCCATAATAATATATATTATTAAAAATTCACAACTACGATATTTACGATGACCGTAATATCATCAATTATATCCGTAATAGCGATACAATACGACTGAATATATAAATAAAAATTATAATTTAAATTCCTGATCAGGGGGCCTAATTTTTTTTGGTTCGCCTAGGGCCACTAAAATGTCATAAACGGGCTTGTGTCTCAATCATCATGTTAACGTCAAACTTAGACAATTATCAAATTTTTAACGAAAAATGACAAGTTTGAAACATAATGAATAGTCAAGTGATCAATTTGTAACTTTTAATAGCCAAGTGACTTAATAAAGCGACATTCAATAATCAAAATATCATTTTACAACTTTTAGTAGACAAATGACTTAATAAAACTATACCTATAGTAAGGAACTATTTATGTACTTTACCCTAAAATTTTATTAAGCATCTTTAAACTATTATGTCACCGGTATGATAGGCTTTCCTTCGGTAAAACCAATCCCAAAATAGGCCCAATTTGAAGTCCCTTCTACCAACCCTATTTCTTACGTTTCCAAGACAATTTTCAAGTCTTCATCTCTCAGTTCAGCTGCTCGGTAAGCAATTTCTCTCTTACCCCATTTTTGTTTGCTCTTTTTCTCTACTAAAACTCCTTTTTTTTTATCGTTTAATCCAAGTTTTGCAATTTTTTTTTGTATACTTATTGTTTCCTAATCTGATGAATTATGTAATGCTCGATTTGATCCTTTCTGAGCTTTACCGGATTTACGAAATGAAAGAAAAACCGGAAATGGGATGAAATGGAAAAATAAAACCTGGGTTTCAATTTAAAATGCTTAGAAATGAAGTTTTTTTCTTTGACTTTTCATGCGTTAGTCCTTTAGGTTTCCAGAGCCTTAGGGTTTGATTAGTTTTAGGACATTGTTTGATACTTTTTATTTGAAGTTGATAGAGTCTTTTATGTTTTAGAGTCATGGTTATATATTTTTAATTTGACCATAGTTTCCTTTATCTGTGGGAAATTGGCTTTGTTTCGTGGAGTTAATACGATGAGATTATTGGTTCTATTCCTTTTAGTTACATGATTGACTATGTTATACCGATTGCAGGAGTTATATATTCAACTACTATGGCAACCAGAACGGCCGTCAGATACATTTCTCGTAGGTTCTCAAGTGGGAGTGGGAAGATACTCAGTGAGGAAGAAAAGGCTGCTGAAAATGTTTACATCCAGGTACTCAATCATTTCAGGTTGTTTTCATCATGTATCATTAGCATATAACTATCATTATTTTGGTCTAAGCTCGGAGTTCTTAGTTTGTGTTATTCTTATGATAATCATTTTTGTTTAAACTCCCTTCATTTTGTTTATTTCCTATAGATTTACTTATTTCCCTTTTGTTCCTACTAGGTTTTCTTTAGGCCTGTGCAGTGTCTAGTTGTTTGTCCTTTTCTGGCGTTTCATTCAACTTGGTATTATAAATAAGTTGATAATAATTGATAATATTTTGTAGAAGATAGGTACGATGAGGTTCAAAGGCCTGCAAATGGGATAATCCATTTTTGGCCTTGCAGTGAGAAGGGGTATCTAAGGTCTTGATATTGTAAATGCTGGCCTTGTAAATGTAAAATGTGACCTTTGTTATCTTCCTTGGTCTCTCTTCTCTTTCTCATGTCAGGGTCGGATTACTTTGTGTTTTAGAGGTCTTGCATTGCTTCCTTGGGTATTGTAAGTAATATCTTTGAAATGGTATAGTTTTAGTTTCTCAGTTTATATGCATGTAATTCAAATAGAAAATATTATAGAGTTCATGGAAATCAATGATGCTAGAGGGTCGTACATCACAATGGTGTTGGTTTATATATGTTATGCATCATAGAAGTTTGTGAATTGTGACCAATGTTGCAAATCAATCTATCAAGCTGTTCTCCATCTCTACTTTTTCCTCTCCACTTGTTTTCCCTCTTCCCCTTGATCAGTTCTGCAAAATGTCCTAGAGAATGTCTATTTACTTTGCTTTTCTATGTTTTGATTTGCTGTGTACTGAAGAAGTTGTATTATTGCAGAAAAAGGAACGAGAGAAATTGGAGAAACTTGCACGCAAGGTATGCTCATATCAATTGCTATGTTGATCTATCTTGACCTAAAATCTGTGGGTGTGTGGATGAGATGCTTAAAATGGTTTTAAGTTGTTTTTTAAATCTTTTAATATTTTATTCAGACTATATTTTTATGCTCAGAATGGTACATGCACAAACACTTTACACATGCAACTTTGCATGCCCATATGGAGTCTCATACAGTCATGAAATTTATATTAGCTGCTGATGTGCTATAGCAAATCACTTGATCATGATTTTCTGTCTATCGAAAGGTAAAAGACTGGATTCTGTAACGGTTTAATGATTAGGGTTGTTTTTAAGTTGTGATAAACTGATAATCATGTGTAAACAGAAAATTTGAGTTGTTTGTGTAAGAAGAGTGGTAAAGCATTCAAAGAATTCTTGAAATATTTCAGGGACACAAGCCAGATGAGAAACCCGATTCAGGTTTAGGGGGTACTGCAGCTGATGCTAATCCCAGTGGCACCACCTCAACATCAGGAGCATCTACTGAGAAATCATCGAGCGACAAGTTTCGGAATTATGGAGTTCTAGCCGGTGTTGCATCCCTTGGTGCTGCTGTGGGATGGTATCTCAATTCTAAAGATAAGAAGCAAGAAGTCCGGGAGTGAGGTTAATGTGATCAGATTCTGGTATGAATGGTTTACCCCCAATGCCATGTGGTGTGCAGAAAAATAAAGCAAACTTTGTAAAGCAGTTTACTATGTGTTTCTGATAACAACTGTGTTTGAATCAGATGTTGTAGGTCAATGCCAGATATGGTTTTCTAAATGTCTTTTAATGAATCTGAGGTGTTAAACTGATGTTTTCCTAAATAAAAGTGTTCCAGATTTTATACCTTCAAAAAAAGTTGTCTTATGGCGTCTTCTTTTCTTGGTCATTCCAAGTGATTTGTAGTTACAAATCAAGTAAATGTCTACACCTACAAGTTCAGCACAATAATATTGAGTATTTAAATCAAGAGTTCCTTAAAAATAATAAAGTGGTTTCAAAAATCGTAGTCTCCCCTTTTAAAGAAAATGGATAAATAACTTATTTTTATAATATATAAATATTTATTTATAATTTAAAATTAAAATGTTATCAAGAATAATATATTAGGCTTACGATAACAAATGTCTAAATCCTATTTTTTTTCTAAATAGGTGCTTAAATTTTTTTCGGTTAATCTGTGTCTAACTTTATAAATGTTATTATTTTAGGTGTTTGAGCATATAAATGTCATTAATTTTTTTGTTTAGTGACACGTGTCTTGTTCTGGTAATTTAAAAATTATATTTAAAAAAATTAAAAAATGATTATATTTATAAAAACTCTAATTTATCTTAAATTACAAAAAAAAAAAAATTAAATCTTTAACCCTAACCTTATCTCCCTTGTTGGATGGACACAATCACCACCGTTGGCACCTTCCTTGTCATCTCCTTAGTCGGACAACGTCATCCTTGCTATCGAGATGGTTGTCGAGGTTGTTTGGAGTCAATGTCGAGATGGTTCGTCATGGGCTTTGTTCGTCATGATTTAGGGTTCATCGGTTGTTGTTATGGTGGTTGTTCGTGGGTAACTAGTTGTTGGTGGAGACGTTGTCGGGTAGAGGTAAAATTTTTAAAATTACCTAAACGCGAAACGTATCACTTAACAGTGGAATTTAACATTCGTTACGGACTAGAAACCTAAAGTGGTAATGTTTGTAACATTAGACACAGATTGATCGGAAAAAATTTAGACATCTATTTTAAAAAAATAATATAATTTGGAGACTTTATTTTTATATTAAACTTATTATTTATAAGATTGATTAAATCAACGTTCATTTTAATACAATTATCGTATTATTATAATACTCTAAATCCTACTCGACTAAATCCGTAAGATTTGAGTGCCAAAATCATCGAAGTTAACAAATCATTTTTATTTTTATAAAATCACATTACTCAAAACCTTTAAAATATATTAATCTCACCGTAATAGATAAAAAATATTAATTAGATTTAAAAAAGTACGGAACTCCGTAGTTTAAATCAAAATATATCAAAATAAGAGGTACAAACCATTAACAAAATACATAAAGTCCTATGAATATATAAGCTAGATGAAAGATAAGGTATTGTACTCTGAAAGCGATTCGATGCTGGAATCTTTCTCTAACGAAGGTCCTCGACTACTATATAATTGAATCACATGCGAACGGAAACATCCGAACATTGATATTGACAAGTTTAATAACACACAATTATTGATATGATCATGATCGGCACAAACTTTCTCCATTGTTTGATCACACCATAAATATCATTAAGGCTAACTCTATGGGAGTTCTACCTTTCTTTATCTTCTATCTACTTATATATGCATTATTTGATGATATAAGCATGTTTTTGCATATTAGACTATGCTTGATTATCATATGTTATCATTCATTTGCATGATTTTATTTCGCATGAATTTGCATGAATATTAATAGTTTGCATATCATTAATTTGCATGAATAAATAAGCATGATACTTCATTCAAAGTATGTACTTCATTTAGCATTTAGATCATTAAAGCATGTAGTTTTTTTATGTAAGTTATTTCATTTAAGTATGTTGTTTCATTCAATAAAGCTAGTTCACCAACTAAACTAGTTCATTCATTAAAACTAGTTCAATTAGTCACACTAGCTCTTTTAATGTTTGCATGACATGTTTCTTTTTGTTTTATTTAAGCAAGAACGTTTGCTATAATTGTGACTAGGTGCATGAATGGAGTTGAACAATCACATTAAATACAAGAATATCAATCAGTTTGTTTTTCATTTCTGAATGCGATATAGATGTGTTTGGATCCTGAAATCAATTGTTAGAATTTCATTACTAGAATTACATGCAAGGATGAACATTCAAAGCAATCTCCAAATTCATTCATAAAAGAGCATGAACGTCCAACATACCTTCAATTCTTTTAATCCATGATTAGGCTGCATTAAAAAGCAATAAAGACCTACTTCATCATTTTTTTTGTAGAGCCTTTTCAATCTCTACAAGGGAGACATGCATTCAAGACATCCTTTATCATCCATTTGTGAGACTATTCAAATTCTACAAGGAGACATACAATGAAGGCATTCTTAATTCATATTATTATGACATTCAAGAAGGTTAAATGGCTTGAAGATGAGAATGAAATAGCAAGAGAAACTTCCCTTTTGGACACCTAAGTGTCTACATACATCAAGTGTCCACATTCATCCTCCATTCTTTCATAAGTGAGTGTTGAGTTAATCGATCGACGAAATAGCCAAGAGAGGTTGAATTGGTAATAAAAGTTTTGGTGGAAGCTTTTGTAGAAAATTGAAAATAATTGCACAACGATTTAGAGTGGTTCGACTTTCTCAACCAAAGTCTACGTCCACTACCTTAGCTATCCACACTAAGGATTTCCAACAAATTCACTAATTTGTTATTTCTTTTGAGAACAAAGAGTAACCTTACAACTCCCTCAAGAACTATACCCCAAATTCTTGAGAACACTCTCTCTCAAAGAGAAATACACAAATTTGCAAACTTATAGAAAAACCTCACAAGGTAAGATGTTTGCACAATTCTAGAACAAAGAAAAAACACAAAAAAATGAATACAATTGAGCACAATAAGTGTTCTTGAAAGCAAAATGAACATTGAATGAAAATTTGGCTTGAAATGCTCAAACTTGGCTTGAAATGCTCAAACTTGAGGTTTGATACTTTCTCTTTGATTCTCTAGTTTCTCTTCTTAATTGTTGTTGATCAATGGCTCCTAAGCTTGTTTAAATACACCTTGGATCACTTCTGAACGTTGGGGGATCATTGGTGAAGTCAATAGAGCCGTTATTGTGTAATTATTATTTAAAAATCTAGTTGGGAGCGTAGGTGCATCGGTACACTATCAGTGTGCATTGATACACTATGTGTAAAATTCAAATATTTCGACCGCTATAAGACTTAGTGCATCGGTACACTAGGGGTGCATCGGTACACTAATTACATTCGATTTTTCAAAAGAGCCAGGAGTGTATCGATGCATGGTCTGTGCATCGGTACATACAATGCATTCGAATTAGGGTGTGCATCGATACACCAAAGAGTGCATCGGTACATCCCTTTATAAAATTGATTTTGGCTCGATTAAGGTTCAAAATACTTTGTACAAATTATTTCAAAAATATTTTAAGTTTAAAACACAATTTTACACTTTAGTAAGGTTTGAAATTGACATTTGAAAAACTTGGAGTAATATTTGTGACATTCGAATAATTTAATCGAATATACTTTAAAAATTATTATAAAATCTTAAAATTCAATAAAACTTAATTTGTTATATCAAAACATCAAAACATTTTCAATAATGTCCCCCTTTTTGATATAACAAAACATTTAAATAATTTTAAGAGTTTCTTTGAAAATTATTTTTGAAAATTACTCCCCCTTACACTCCCCTTATTATATTCTCCCCTTTTTTTGTTAAATCAAAAAGACCCTAGAAAATAATTTAAACAAAGGTTTGAAAATTTAGCCAATTGATATTTAAAGCTTAAGCTGCTAAGATCACAATCAAGATTGGTCATATTTCAACTAATATGTAAATATGCAAAAACTAATATACATTAAGCTCAAATTAAAAATTCAACCAAACCAAATATATAAATATAAGCATTTAATTTCAAACATCCAAACATCCAAAACATAAATCCAAAAACATCCAAAATGTTAAAACAATAAGTTCTAGGTTCAATCCAAGAAAACAAAGCAAGAAATGATCTAATTGTCTATCGGTGGAGCATGAGGTGATAAATATGCCCATATATTGGCCACATCACGTGTAAGTGCGTTGACCCTCTCGTCCATAACATCGAAATGATGATTTATTGCTTCGTTGTTAGTAGTTAAATGTGACTCGATGGAAGTAAACCTCATGTCAAGATTCTCCATAAATGATCAGAAATATGGAGGCATCTGACTTTGTTGTGCCGACTCATCCTCGGGTACGTGTTCGTCGATATCTTGAAATAGTTCTTGAAGTTCTGGATTATCGTCCGATGTAGGTGCCGGAGGATCTTGTGAAGAGCTAGCTCCCGATGTTTTCTCAATGGATCAAACTAATTGACCCTTGTCCTCCTTCCATCTCGATTTCTTTAAAGATGTAAGATTTAATTGGTTCTTGAGAGGGATGGGAATATCAAGCGAAACCTTAAGCCCGAGTTTGATAAACAGATTACTAAGGAGACAACCGTAAACTAAAGTTTTGACATTTTTGGATGGGACAACGTTCTCTACTAATTCACCAAAAATGATCTATGGCAAATTTATTTTCTTGTTATGTTGGATACAGTGTATCCATCATAAATCTATAACTCTAAGAGATGAGTACCTACCTCCGGATGGTCTAAACCACCAAGAGATCATCAAGTGAAGGAATTGCTCGTGATGAGTTCTTAAGGTACTTACACTACCCTTAGCTTTATAGGGTGTAGCCACAATCTTTTTTTCATTATCCAGACCCATATTATCTAAACCAAAGGCATTTGCGATTGTGTCGGAGTCGATATAAATGAATTCACCTAAGAGATAGATTGAATTCATATGGTTTCAGTTTGACGCTCATTTTGGACACAGACGCATTGGAGTAGAAAATACAGACTAATTGGTGATAAACAATGGGCTGAATTTGAAACAGTTTATCAAATTTCCAAGAACAGAGGATAAGAAGATATTCGGAGTTCATATCGACCATTGCTTGAATAGAGGGAATACGTTCTTCCCGGATTT